GGCATACCCCCCCCCCCCCGACCCAGAGAGGGAAGGACGGACAGACACACAAAGGAGGAATATTAATGCCATGGCATTTGCTAGCGTATGTAATATATGTGATCTCAGATGAGTAATAAATTACATTTCAACCAGTGACGTATGTTTAAATTTGTTTAACTTGCAGAACATTAAAGCATTATTAAATATACTTTTGAAATGAACAAATCTCAGGTTTTTCCGAACTCAGCTTTCTTCTGCTTTATAGTCTTTGAGGTGCCTTGGTTTGTTTTTTTTTTTCAATCCATACTTCTGATTTGAGTGTTTCATTGCTTATAATTAATTCTGAAGCGAGAAGTCAGAGGTTCATGTGTACTCACAAAATGTCATCTCTGTGTTTTCCGGGAGAGGAAGTAACATCTGTGCTCTTCTTTTTTTCTGTTTCAGGTGATTGGAGCCCTCGTCCTCGCGGTCGGGATTTATGCAGAAGTTGAAAGACAGAAGTACAAAACTCTAGAAAGTGCCTTTTTAGCCCCAGCAATTATTTTAATACTTCTGGGCATTGTAATGTTCCTCGTATCTTTTGTGGGTGTGCTGGCTTCTCTAAGAGACAATTTATGCCTTCTTCAAGCAGTAAGTGTTGGGGGTTTTTATTCTTAATTTTTAGAGCTGATTGCTTTTGCTTTTCAGTGTCGCCTGCATTCAAACCCGTACCTCTTTCTATGTCTGCGCTGAAAAATATTTTAATAAAGTTGCTTTTTTGATTTGAATTAAATCTAAAACTGCTCTGTGGCAGTGGTCCCCTGACCGTGGATGCCGCTCCGTCAGGGAGCAGCGGCGTTTCGTCTCGCTGGCGACAGGACGGGCGAGGGTCAGAGCCTGGCGCTGAGAAAACCAGCTTCCCAATAGTTAAGGGCTTTATGGAAAACAACCAGGAATGTGCATTATTACGAGCTGGCGTGGATCTTGTGCAAACTCGGCTGTTGACATACGGGTTGACGCTAGCCCGGCACCCCGGTGCCTGCTCTTTCTGTGGTCCGGCCGTAGCGTAGGCACGTGCCCTGCGTAGGGGCACGGTGTTGGGGAGGAGGAAACACCGAAGGACGGGGCAAAGCCTGGCTGCAGCTTCCCACGTCGGCGTGGGGGCACTTCCTAAAGGACCCTAAGGGGGAAGTGAAAGGGACGCAGGTTTTCTCTCCAGCGCCTCGGAAAGGTGAAATTTTAGGGAAATTCCTGTGTAACGCTGCAGTTGCAGATGGAAGTTGCACATGTGGCTAATTAAAAGTAAGGCACGAAAACATAATTTTCACCTTCGTGTCAGTTCAGTGTAAAGAAATGGTAAATAAGTGGTACGTTACTTAAACCAAAGCCAGAGCTAACTGTGGATTTTGAAATTAGGCTGGAATTTTACGCAGTCTGTCCTCAGGCGGTGGTGGCTTCTTTCACTCTGAGTGTGGTGGTGTGTCCTCGTCTGTTCCTGAGGACGTTTTCTGTTCCTGTTGTGGTAGCAAACCCAGTAGGGTATTTAAACTGAGAAAGTCCCTGATGTCTGCTTCTCAGGCTGATTCCAGATTTAGCAGGAGAATAGGTATCTGTCCGGTGAATTCGTGACACTGACACCGGGTATTGAGAGCACAGAAATTAAACTAGCTTTTGGGATGGAGCATTAGAGATTATTTTCAGATGAGAGATCCTAAAACTTCTTTCCTGACAAAGTTCACCATTAAGAAGCAGAGCTAAATTTATGTAACATCTATCTTTTATACCTAAACAATCCTTTGGGTTGCAAAAACATTTCCCGTACTGGCACGTTGCAGCTACGTCACGGTGTTGCTATGGATTTCTTCATATTGTTCCTATTTTGCATGTGCTTTGGTAAGTAGTCACAGATGCATGTGTTGCGGTCGTGTGCGAGTGAGCATGTATGTAGATACGCAGATGAATAAATAAATTGAGAGCTAGCAGGTACAATTTTTTCTTACCACCGAGCCTACTAAGTCCTGTTAGTGCCCATCGTGCAGGCTCTGTGCTCAGCTGGCTCGGTCATGCAGTACTGCTCAGTTCCCTCTTCTGAAGCAACACACTAAAAGGTACCAAGCCCAGAATTTTGCTTTGATTTAACACTGGTGATTTAGTAGAAGGTGGTTCGGATTATCTTAAAGCACTGCTTTACCCAAGAAATGAAAGCTAACAGGTAAGTACTGTTTTTGCAGGAAGCATGAAAACATAAAGTTCGGTGCGGTTTGTAGCAGTCTGTTAATATGCTTCTCTGGGATGCTGTTATGGAGAGAAGTATCTTGGCGTGCTAAATGCATCTATTGGTTTTGAGCCCATGCAAAGCAGAAAAATAATGTGTTTGCCACTTGGGCAAACCCCAGAATGACTCAAGTGAGGAAAAAAGGCTTTCTCGTGATACAAACAGTTTTATAAGAACAAAACCATAATATTCTTTTAGATTGGATATTAGGAAAAATTTCTTGACGGAAAGGGTAGTCAAGCATTGGAACAGGCTGCCCAGAGAGGTGGTGGAGTCACCATCCCTGGAAGTGTTCAAAAAAACGGGTAGATGTGGCACTTCGGGACATGGTTTAGTCTAGTCTACCCTTGATTGGCTTAGTGGTGGACTTGGTAGTGTAGGTTAATGGTTGGACTGGATGATCGTAAAGGTCTTTTCCAACCTAAACGATTCTATGAGTCTATGATTTCTATCTTTCTTTAAAATGACATCTCATAAGCAGAAAGCCGAGTATGTTGGCAATTGAATAGTATGGACTTAAGGACCCTAACCGAAAGAGTAATTGGGGTTTGTTCTGTTTAAGGACTCACTTGCAATTGTTTTTCTGCAGTTCATGTACATTCTTGGTATCTGCTTGCTGATTGAGCTGACTGGTGGAGTGGTGGCCCTGATCTTCAGAAACCAGGTGAGCCGCTTGCGTTTCAGTTTTGATCACCAGGAGCGTTACTCACAATCAGTGACGTTACAGCTATGCTACTGAGCAAATAAAAGGTGTTGAAATTGTCACCTGAGCACTACCTGGTGGAGGTCTGAAGGCAGGTCCAGACTTTTCAGGGCCTTTCAGGTTTGGGGATGTGTGGGATTGGCCACCCGTTCCTGGGATGAATTCCAGATTAAAGAATTTGGAGAAAATGTGGTGACTAAGAATGCGCGATACAGGCAAAACAAGTTTCCAGCTCTTCATGTATTACAAAGCGCTTTCTTCTCGTTTGCCATCTGAGTCTCAGACTGCTGATTTGGGAAGGTTCCAGCTGGATTTGGAGACTTTGTTATTTTTTAGTGGCCAAAATGTTTTACCGTATATAAGGGACAGCTATTCCCTGCCCACATACGTAAGCAACATAACTAATTTCTACAGCAGACCCTATGATTTACAAGCATGTTATAATTATATAGAAACCTTAATTTTTCTAAATGGAAAGCAGCAGACTATTTTTTGTGTGTGTGTGTTAGAAATGTTTTAAAACATCAGTGTGTTCGCTATGGCAAGTACTAGATTTCTGTGCTTTGATTTTTTTTCTAATCTGACAAAATATGAGCATTAAAAGGAGATGCCGAATAACAAGACCTCTTCCCTCCCCACCCCAATCCTACCGATCTCATTTCCACAAAGAGAAGTCATACATGCTGTGTTACGTATGTTATTTAAAAAAAAAAAAAGCTTTAAAAAAGGTTTTTTAAAAAATAACAACTCATTGTTATTTTGAAGTAGTATTATGTTCTCCCTAGCTAGTATTTTCTTACTCCATGGTGGACCGAGTCGTGAACTTGACTTGTGAGAGCAGAGGATGAGTTATCTTCATTTCTAGAAGCCATCGCTAGCTGTTGCCGTAGGTGGTGCCTTGGCCCCACGCAAGGAGGTGTTTGGAATTGTGGTGGGAGCACCAGGCTTGTCCGAAGGGAGCAGATCAGCCTGCCTGGTGTAAGAGTGTGGGCATCATGGGATGCAGAGAATTTGGTTGACAGAAAATTAAGTAAATGCCAAAGATGGTATTTGCTGAGAGGGTGAGGAAGAATTGCTGTTGACTTTCAGACAAAGAAAACGTATTGTTGGGATTTTTGTGCAGTAAGCGTTTTCCTGACACGTGTATTGGGTGTCTGAGCAGGACGGCTGTGCTCAGGGGCAGGTTTCTTTGCTTGTTTTATGAGGTTAATGGAGAAGTTGGGGTTAGTAGGATGTTGAGTTGCTGACATTGAGTATTAGGACATTGAGGTGCTGGAGCGTGTCCAGAGAAGGGCAACGAAGCTGGTGGAGGGTCTGGAGCACAGGGCTGGTGGGGAGCGGCTGACGGAACTGGAGGTCTTCAGTCTGGAGAAGAGGAGGCTGAGGGGAGACCTGATCGCTCTCTACAACTACCTGAAAGGAGGTTGTAGTGAGGGGGGTGTTGGGCTCTTCTCTCAAGTAGTTAGCGATAGGACAAGAGGAAATGGGCTCAAGCTGTGCCAGGGGAGGTTTAGATTGGATATTAGGAAAAATTTCTTCATGGAAGGAGTGGTCAAGCATTGGATCAGGCTGCCCAGAGAGGTGGTGGAGTCCCCATTCCTGGAAGTGTTCAAAAAATGGGCAGACGTGGCACTTTGGGACATGGTTTAGTGGGCATGGTAGTGTTGGGTTGATGGTTGGGCTGATGATCTTAGAGATCCTTTCCAACCTTAATGATTCCTAGTTTTTACTTTCATTAAAAAATAATCCAGCCACCAAGCCAGGAAACATGAAATTAATTCTTACTTTACCCTTAATTGGTTTAGTGGTGGACTTGGTAGTGTTAGGTTAATGGTTGGACTGGATGATCTTAAAGGTCTTTTCCAACCTAAACGATTTGATGATTCTAGTATGGTGAGGAGAAGGAGTTATTTAATAAAGCTTAGGGTAATAGGTTCTATTTAAATGCTAATTGCTTTGCATGTCTTACTGTTTTTTCCCATTTTCTTTCTCTGTTTCCTTCTCAAATCTGTCGAGTCTAAGTCAGGAGATGCAGGTAGCGCAAGTGTAATTGGTATTTGCTGCTGTTTGTTCTTGGCCAGTTAGGATAGTCCTGCAAAATCCCATATTTCTAATCATCGATGTGATAATTGTTTTTGTTCTGTCTTGTTTTTAAGTGTTGCAGTTTGTAATACTGAGAAAATGAGTAGGCATATTTCAGGTTTCTTTCTGACCTGCAAGGATTTAGCTTTGATCTTTTTAGCAGCTGGGTTGAAAGGAAAGTTGTTATGTTCTGGTTGTGTTTAGTCTCCATTTTTGCTATGCTGTGATGGTGCTGGATGTTGAAAACTGAATACTCTTTTTTTTTTTTCTTTTTTTTTTTTCCCCTCATCTTCTGAACTTTAAAAGCATTTTGTTGTTTTCATTTCTAATACGCCAAGCTGAGGAGATACAGTTTTATATCTGTCAACACTCTGCTGCCATATTTCTCAAAACCGTGATTGTGAAACACAGATACGAGATCTTTTTGACTTTTTTCTGCTTACGGTGGAATAAAGCTCATTATCTGGCAATTACGGATTCCTTGGAAAATGAAATGGTGAAAATAAAGTTAATGGAAAATAAAAATCACAGAAGATGGTGAGCAGGGAGACAGTCAGGTCTTGTCGCCCAAGGAGTGGTGCAGACCACGGTGTCAAGACCTGCCACCCAAACCTGCCGTTCTGTCACCCAGAAGATGCCAGGGATCCCCGGTGCCCAGTGGGAGGGATCCTGCCTTCCCCTTCTCAGCCTGGGGGACAACGGGACCATCTCTGGGAGGCGCTTGGAGAGTCTCAAGAGGAGCAGCACCTCGCTGGAGAGGTGTCGCACTGTTAGCGCTTCTCGGGACAAAACCAGCAGCGAGGCTGCTTCCTTAAAAGAGGATGGATGGTCAGTCCCTGCAGGACTGTGCTGTGATTGATTTTTAACTGGTATTTGTTTTTTCTTAAAAAAAAAAAAAAAAAAGCCTTTCCTCTTGTGTTCATCAATTACACTTGTCGCTTTAACCCATTCTTTTAATTTTGTTTCAGCGTGTGTAACCTATGAATCTTCTTTTACTTCTGCCTTCTAGACAATCAACTTTTTGAACGATAATATAAGACGAGGAATTGAGAATTACTACGACGATTTAGACTTCAAGAACATCATGGATTCTGTTCAAAAGCAGGTTTGTTTTGGTTTTGTTGGCTTTTTTTTTTTTCCCTGGGACTAAGTCAGTGCCGAGACGTGGTAGGTCCTGGGTGACAGCTTAGAGTTTTTCCAGTGATGTGATAATCGAATTCTTATTGACGAGGGAGATGAGATCTCATGCGTCATCTGTTATGATGTTGCTGCAGGCAGGGCTCCTCCAGCATCCCAGCTGGCCTTTGAAGCCCCCTAAATCACTGCAAGAAGCAGGGGCAAAATGCAGCTTTTGCCTTGGTAGGCATGATTCGGCTGCTCGAGGCCGGATCCTGCAAACATTTAGGTTTATACGAGCCCCGCAGCCAGATTCAGACAAATTCAGCCTAAATTCCACCCAAGTTCTTACGCTAAGCGTTTCTGCTGGCTGGCCCAAGACATTAAAAAGCATCTCATTAACAGGAGGCACCGGATAAAGAGAAATTAGGTGGCAATTAGGCTGTTGGAACCTGGGCCGTTGTATTTTCACTCGAGGGCACGTACCAAGCTCTTTAACAAGGTGGTTATTCAAAGGAAATGCCCATGGAAACATATATACCTGTAATTAAAATTGTGTTGAGCCCAGCTGAGCATTACTTAATGGCACGCGTAGTTGACTCACAGCCCCTTTTTTTTTTAAGGCTGGTGTGTTGAAATGTTTATTGGATTATTGAAGAGTTCTGCCATGCAGTTCAGAGACTATAGAAGAAGCAAAAAGTGTTCAAAAATGTGATGTCAGGGCCCGTGTGATGTCAGTGACCATGCCAAATGATGATTTAAAAAAAAAAAAAAGTTAACTTAGGAAGCGATATGTATATTTTATGACATCGTTATGGAGATGGCAGCCTGCTTTGAAAAACAGAGTTAGCATGGAAAGTCTGTGAAAAGCCAACCATCCTGAGGAAATTTTGTCATTAGACTTCATAATGCTTTAAAGTTTCCATGCACTGCCCAAAATTATGTGTATGTACAGTGAATATACATTTTAGTGATTAAAGAAACTGTTCCTTTTCCCTTTGTTTAAAATATAAAGTGAATGTTTGTATTAAGTCAGTGTAAACTTACAGTATTTGTCAGATCTCAGTTTTACTAGATTACACCCAAAATGTTTTGGTGAGATTTTTTTTTTTTGTGCCTTATAGCAACATTTCTGTCTTTGAGTCATTTAGAAATGTAGTCAAAATCCTTAAATAATTGAAGCAGTACATTACAGCTCAAGATGGAGTGAATGTAAAAACATTGCTTAACGATGTCCAGACCTGAAAAGACAGTTTTTCAACTCAGAAAAGTTGGGAAGTGGAACTTAGCAGTAAGCACTTTGCTCTGGCACCTGGGGTAATAGCGCGATGAGTGACAGAGGAACGCTGCCTTTATTTTTAACTCTTTTCAGTTGTATCTGTTGTGTACATTCCTATATGCCTTGCTGATAAAATGACAGAATTGCTGGGTAGCTCAGTGCTCTTAAAAATGCTTTATTATTGCTCTTTTATTAATTACTAATAATTAAGAACATTAATAACATAGTTATTAGAAACGTTTCTGTTAAGATACGAATTTTTTTTTTTTCCTTTGCCTTATGTGTCATTTTTTCCAGTTTAAGTGCTGTGGTGGGGAAGATTACAGGGATTGGTCACAAAACGTGTACCACAACTGCGGGGCGCCGGGACCGCTGGCCTGCGGGGTGCCCTACACTTGCTGCGTCACAAATAAGGTCAGTCCAAGTCCCGGCTTCTCGGCACCGCTGCTCTCCGCCGGGTCGCTGGCATTGGCTTAAAAAGGTACCTTACTTCAGAAGGTCTGGGGGAAGAAGCGAAGGAAAATGGGTCCCTCCTAAGAACGGGAGCTATGGATCCATGGGTCTTGATAGCTTGAAAAGGAGAAAATAATGAGTTAGACGTGTTGGCTCCGGTCCGTGTTACCGTCCTGCTACACGGTCCTAGAAACGCAGAAGGGATCTTGGGAGTTCCTCCAACCTCATGACTTGCCTGGACCAGGCCTGCTTAAAATTAAATCTTGCTGGTGTTTTCCCCAGGGTTTGCTGCTCCAGCTTTGCCAGGAAGCCTGGGCCCCGTTTACATCCGTGGGTGGGGGTTGGAACGATGTGCACCAGCTGCTGCATGAATTAAAAACCAAACAGAACGACCCCGTCATCCAGAAAAAGCCAGAAATGTGAGCAAATGACCTCGGGGTCAGTGCATCCTTGTGGGTGCAGGTCTAGACTGGAGCTGCTGGTCTACCCTAACCCATCCTTGAAAACTGCCCACCTTGCCGCCTTGTCAAATCCTCCCCGGAAGAACACGGGGTCAGCTGGAGTCTGGACCGGTTTCTCAGGCTACAATGAACTGGTGTTAACTGGTGCTGGCAGCACTAGGAGCAGGCGTTAAGTTCCATAGAAACGGACCTTGTGTCTTATGTAAATTTTAGAAGTTGTCGTTCATCGCTCTTCATTTGAGGGATGGCTGTAACGCTGAATTTGATGAAGAACTATTCCTCAGCTCAAAACCAGTGTGGGCAATCCCTGCCTCACTGGGTTTTGGTCTTTGGTCTGAGCACAAGACAGAGAAGTTGCGTGTGTGTAAGAGCAGACGCAGTAGAGCTCATGACGGCTAGCCTACCGGTGCCTGTTACGTGCTGCCCTTTCAAGGTCTGCCTTAAGGGTGGGTGTTTAATTAAAAAAAAAAAAAAAAAAAAAAAAAAAAAATGCAACAATTGTGTTAGTAATCCTGCTGGGTGTTACTGAGAAATGTGTATAACATGAAGGTGTTTATTACGTATGCTTACGCAATTTTTGTGTGTGAGGAGTCTGTTTAAAGCTGCGCTGAGCTGTGATTTATTCTCAGAAACTAAAGCTGAACAGTTCTGTTTTGAGTCTCGGGTGTTTCAGAATAAGAAAGTCATGTATATGAAAATAATCTGTGCTGATCCAGAGCAGCACGGAGCAGAAGAGCTCAGGATTTTGCCCTCAGTTGATGGCAAAGGAAGATAGAGCTGCCCTGTAAAGAGCAATCTGGCTTTTTACGGGTCATTCAAAATACTGCTTTTTTTTCTGCATCTCTCATTTCTCTGTTGAAGCCTTGCTTTAAAAGGTTAGTCCCTGTGTGCGGAAATACAGCAGTACTGTGAAGGCGAAGTGCTGCGATAACCAGTGACTAATAATGCTAGGTGGCTTTTCAGCCATGGCACAAAAAATCAAACACGTTGCGGATTTCAAATGCAAGCTGTCAGGCAGGAAAGCACTAAAATAAGAACTGCTCCGAGGAAAACGGGGTGTATATTCTCCATATGCTTCATTGGCAAGTGGGGAGGAGGGGATGAGACTACTTGCAGCCTAAAGGTAGCCTGTGAAGTGTTAAACTCGGTGAAGTTAATTGAAAGGTGACGAGATGCCCCAAAATAACAAGCAAACTTGTTGTTTAAGGGTAGGCTGTTCAGCAAGATGCTGCGGTACATTAGGGCTTGTGGCTTTGCCACCCCAGGATGCCATCGATGTGCCCTGTGGAAGTCCAAGCGGCACGGACGCGTGTTGGCCAGCATGAGACTAACATCGTGGCTGTATGGCCGGCTGCCCCGAGGGAAAGAAAAAAAACCCAACCAGAAGATGCATAAATCTTCTATGTTTGACAAATGCTTCCAAATACAGGCTGGTTTCTGTCCTGGAAAACCACAGATATGGTTTGTGATTACTCATTCACTTTGTAGTCATGGAAAACTCCCGTTAATGTTGGAGGTTGGATTCTGATCTCTTGAAAAGCCCGGTGCTAAGATGAGCCAGGCTCATACTGGAGGGGGTCTGAAGGGACTATTTTCAAGTCAAAGTATTCATTAAAGACTTACTTTTATCTGTAGCAGATAAAACTTAGTTGCCGAATGCCTACAAACCTCCGTTTCTGATGCATTTATCGAATGCCTACAAACCTCCGTTTCTGATGCATTTATCTCCGTTGTGATGTCCTGTCAGCAAATGCCGCGTTTAAAATTAAACGATGTGACTCTGTTCTTGTTGTCACGTATTTCGCGGATGTCCGTGTGTTTGTCTGTTAGGCTTACGCGTTTTGTAAATGTGCAGTCACTCACAGCAGACGCAGCAACACGCTGATGCCTAGTATTGCAAACCCTGACTTCCAAGAGTATTTATTACCTGTGGTTCAAAGGTGGCTACTCCTCGCGTTTTTGCAACAGACCTGTGAAATAGTCAGAGCCTTATTTTTAAGAACGTGCTGAACCTTGTTTGTCAGACAGTTGCGTGCTCAAGGTGAGAGCCTGGCTTTTTGGGATCTTAAAAAAAAAAAAAAAACCAACCAACTTGACCCTGGCTGGTGTTTCTGCCATTCTGTAACATCCAGCTTCCTTCCATCTTTTGCCAATGTCCCTCTTCCTTCTTGGGGAGGCGACCTCGGAACCCCAGCTCAGAGGCCACCAGCGTTTAGAAACCTCATCTTGTCTTAATTTTGAGGGAGGGCGCGTCAATACAGTAGAGTTTGCTCTGCCTTATTTCCCTCATTTATATATTCTCATTTTCCTCCGTGTCTTTGGCTTTGTACATTGCTTCCTTTGACGCCGGTGGCCTTTGCGTTGGTTGGTTTGTAAGTGAAGGACAGTATTTTCGTGTTAGCTTTGCCAGGCCAGGTGGACCTTCAGGACGCAAGCAAAATACGATATGGCTACAGAAAATGCATTAGAAATCTATGATGAATGCAAGCTCTCAGTCTTTTTTAAAATATATTAATTTTATTAATTT